GCCTCCTCCTTGCTCATGGCCAAGGCCAGCTGCAGCTGCAGCTCCTCCTCCCCGCTGCTCTGCGGCCACGCCTGCTCCGCCTCGGCGGGGGCTGCCACACCCACAGCCGCCGAGGACGCTGGGGGGCAGGGGAGCACACGTCAGGGGACCCAGAGAAGCACCCCGAAACTGGGCCCATGAGACTTCTGGCCCCCAAGCCCAGCCACCCCTCCAAAGGCTGGGTTTCGGGCTTCCTCCAAGGGAGCCGGGGCTCAGACTCTGGGCCCGAGGGGAGGGGATGGGGGTGCTGTGAGCCCCAGGAAGCAGGGAGGGCAAGGGCCCGCGGATAAAGAGAGGGAGGGGGCCGCGGGAGGCAGGGCTGTGCCAGGGCCCAGGGGCCCGGGCACCAGGGCGCACTTGCAGCCCGTCCCAGGCGCTGGGGGTGCCTCCCTTCTGTTGCCCCCCCCCCCCCGAGGGGACAGCCTGGGGGCTCAGTTTCCGGCCGGTCAAGAGCTGTGTGCAGACAGACTCAGAGCCAGGCCCGGAGCACCCGCCAGGGAAGCCGAGGCCTGGGCTTAAACACGGGGGGAGAGCAGCTGCTCCGTGCTGAAGCACCCAGAACCAGCCCAAAGGCTGCGGGTTCAAACCCAGCAGAGGCACCTCGGGACAAAGCCTGCCGACGTGCTTCCCAGAGGCCCCAGCCTCAGGAACCCCGTGTCCTCCGCACCAGAGTCACCGCGAGTCGGGACCACTCGACGGCCGCCAACGGCAGCTCCCCCTGCCCACCCCGGGGACCCTCAGCTCCCTCCCCACCAGGCCCGGGACCCCTGCGCTCTCGTGACTGGACACAGGCTCTGGGCTGCGGAGGCCAGCCCCGGGGCCCGGCCGCTCGGGCTGGTTCGGGGGCAGGCTGCCGGCCCCTTCTCCTGCAGCCCCTCTGGGCGAGCCTGGAGAACAGGCGTCCACAAGCTACGGCCCCGCTGCGAGGCCGGCCCCCCCGCTGCTGCGGTCTGTCCTCACAGGAAGAGTTTCATGCTTTGAGCCGCTTGGGGGGAAACCAGCAGGAGAGTGTTTTGAGACCCACGCACCTGACAGAAAGCTGGGACGCTGGCCATGGCCACCATGCAGCCCGGGCGGGGTGGTCCCCCCACCGCCCAGGGCCGAGCCTCCCCCTCGCTGCCCTCACAGGAGAGGCTCCCGCCCTGCCCTCGGGGTCCACCCTCCGAGAGTGGACACGCTCATCTCTCCACAGCCATGGTCACAGCACTGGGAGTCCCTGGGTGCCACTAACGGTTAACCCCTCAGCTACCAGCTGCAGAGCTGGCAGTTCCGCAGAAGAGAGTCCTGGTGACCCGTGAGAGGCACAGCGACCGACACCCCCGGGCACACTCTACTCCGCCCCGTGGGTTCAGCTTGAAGACCGCTGCCGCCAGCCCCTCTCCAATCCAAGACAACCCCAGCACCTGGCGAGGGCGACGCACTCCCTGCCAACCTGAGGCCGGGCCCCCAGGGGCGCCTGGCCGGAACATCAGCCACCAGAAAGCCCAGAGAGCGGTTGTGACACACGCGGGCTGCCACTCGGCAGCGCCTATGCAGTGGCACCCACGGGTGCTGCCGGGACCCTCACGGAGGCGCACTGCAGCCCCTCCCTCCCGAAGCTGCTCCTGGGCGCAGGGTCCGCGAGAGAGGCGGGCCCGGGAGCCGCCAGCAGCCCGGGCAAGGAGCAAGCGGTCCCTGGGCCGAGACTGGCCCTGGCTCTGTGGGAACCAGCTGCTCAAGCAGCAGAGAGGGTGGCTGGCAGGGATGGTGGCCGGTCACGGCGTCCAGCCAGCATCGGTGGGTACCAGAGGACCATCCCCTGGTGGGGGGCGTGAGGGGAAGGGAGGCCCAGTGGCCAGGGTCCCGGGAGGAGAGGAGAGAGCGTGTGGGACCGCGCAGTCCCGCAGCCACGACGAGGGAGGAGAGACGCCAGGCCCCGTCAGGGGAGGGCGGCCTCACCAGTGGCGGTCTGCGCCAGCTTCTCCTTGGTCTTGAGAGCGTGGGCACGCTCCTCACGCAGCCGGTCCTCGTCACGCAGCAGGGCCACCAGCTGCTTAGCCTTCTCACGCACGTTCACGCCCTGGTCCTTGCCGTCACGGTCGACGTACTGGAAGTCCTTGAGCGTCTGAACCGCGTACATGTTCTCCTTGCACTGCTGCGACACACGCTCGGAGCCCGTCTTGATCAGGTACTCCATCAGCGTCATGGCCTGCGGGGCGGGGCGCGGGTCAGCACATGGGTCGGCACGCCGCCACATGCATGGGGAGCGGGGTGTGACGTGGACACGGGGCAGGGCGCGGGTCAGCACATGGCCATGTGCACGTGGAGGGGCAGGGTGTGGGTCGGCACATGACCATGCGCACCTGGGGGGACAGAGAGCAGGTCAGCACACAGTGACGTATACACAGGGAGGGGCGTGGGTCGGCATGAGGCCACATGCATGGGGAGCGGGGTGTGAAGTGGACACGGGGCAGGGTGTGGGTCAGCACACGGCCATGTGCACACGGGGGGCAAGGCGTGGGTCAGCATGCAGCCACATGCACACGGAGGTGGGTCATGGGTCAGCACATGGTGACATGCACACGGCAGGGGTGGGGAGTGGGTCAGCAGGTGGCCATGTGCGCATGGGGGGGCGGGGTGTGGGTCAACACACGGCCACGTGCGCACGGGGGCAGGGGTGGGTTAGCACACAGGGGGGTGCACACGGAGGGGAGGGCAGGCCGCTGGTCAGCAGGTGGCCACCGTGCACACAAGCCAACAATCAGTCAGGATGACACGCACAGAGGATGGGGCGTCGGTCAGCACGGGGCAGCACGCACAAGGGCCCAAGCAGGAGGAGGGGTACAGGGGGGCACTGGTCAGCAAACGGCCACAACGCACACAGCCGGGAGCCAGACACGTATCCCAGCACCACGGCTGCCGCCCACAGGGAACAGACCTGCTGAACGGGTACACGGTGCAGTGGGACACCTTCCCACAGTGGACAGAAGGCAGGCCGTACCTGCCTGGCGGGACAGCTCACGTGAGTGGGTGGCACACCACGTGTCCTCACCCACACAGTGATTCCAAGGTCCCCCCTGGTGTGGCACGCACCAGACGGCACTTCACGGAAAGAGGGCCACCTTTGGTGGCTGGGACGCACATGTGCCCATGTACACCCGCGCTCACACACACACGCATCTGTCACGGGACACAAGAGCAGTCCCCACCTCCAGGCTGCCAGGGCGAGAGCCGCCCTGAACAGCGACATGTCTGAGTCCTTGCTTTCCCTGCTGGGGGCCTCGCCCAGGAGAGGGAGGGCTGCACCGAGTCCTGAGTACTGCCAACAGTCAGGCAATCAGCTGCTAATCCTCCCCGAAGGCTGACAGTTCGAGTCCACCCGGAGGCGCCTCGGAAAGCCTGGCCAGCCGTCTCCAAACCACGGAGCACAGCCCTGCCCTGACATGCGTGCAGCAACTCGGCTACTGGTCTGCTTTCTGCTCTTGGACGGTAACTCTGGGTATCACTCCAAGGAAGCACCATGCTGTTAGGGGCTCTAGTGGTGTGGGGGTGAAAGTATCTGACTCCTCACTAAAAGGCTGGCGGTTCAAACACACCAGCCGCTCCACAGGAGAAAGATGAGGCAGTCTGTTTGCTTAGAGATTACTGCCGTGGAATCCTACAGAGCACTTCTCCTCTGTCTTAAGGGTCCCTGTAGGGCTGCTGTGAGTCAGCATCTGGTTGGTGGTCGTGGGCTGTCCC